CCGGTACGGGCGCGACACTGAGGGTTGCGATCCATTGCCGGACAAGAAAAAAGACAAAAAGAAAAAAAAAAAAGAAAAAAGAAAAAAAAAACATCTTTGATTTCTCTCTTTCTTCTGTCTTCTACCTGAAATCCATCATCATGTTCTTTTGAGTCACAAATCCAGCCACTTGTCACCACCTGTGCTAAGTCTATGCACAGAGCAACCAGAAGCATCTTCCCAGACCCTGCTGCCCCCCCGCTCTGACAAACTCTATCAGCACGTTACAGCAAGCCCACCTACGTGCCAGCTCCAGACCTGGCTCTCACACCTGGCTCCCCCTTTCCTCTTCCCCATTCCCAGTCACCAAGTCCTTTCAGTCCACCCATGTCTCTCCACCCCCTCTGCCGCTCCCTAGTTCAGGTCCCCATGAGCAATCATCTGCTTGACCTCAGCAGCCTCCTAACTCTTGTTCCTGCTTCTGTTCTTACTCTCCAAAATTCATTTTCTACGCAGTAGACAGAGCTATCTATCTCTAATGCAAATCCAGTCATGACACCCTCCCACTGAAAACCCTCAACGGCTCCCCATTGTTTCGTGAATAAAGCTCCAGACAGTTCTAGTCAAACTGAAGAGAACACACTGTCCAAACGATGTCAGCTTGGCTTCCAGACCCTCACCCTCAAGCGACCCTTTTCTTCCTAGAATGCAGCGAGCTCCCTTCCATCCCTGGGCATCCGCTGTGCTGCCCCCTCTGCTGGAATGTCACCTGCCCACCTGCCCTGGGCTCCTCTGTCCTGTTGCCTCGTTCTCACCTGGACTTGGCTTCCTGGGGTTTGGGTCTGCTGTGCCTCCCACACGCCCACCGCGTCTCCTTGCTTCCTATGTCTGCCACGTAAGATGGTGAGTTCTCAGAGCCCAGATGAACAGTCTAGGTCCTCATTCTTACACCCTTAGCTCCCAGCCTGCCACGTAGTAGATGCTCAGTACGTAGTTGTGTGAGGAAGAATAAAGGCAAGAATGAATGAGCAAGTGAGAACGATGGGGATAAAGAAAGAGAAGGCTCGAGTTAAACTGCTGCAGGAGATGCTGTAAGGTGTCCCCTGGGAGAGAGAAAAGCGGATCGTGACACTGAGAGTTTGTGTTACTTGGAGGGGAAGGTGGTGCAAGCGGAGCTGTCATGTGCTCACTTCTCTTCCGAGGGACAGTATAGCATAAACGGAGCCCTGAGAGCTGCACAGGCGGGAGCGTTCAACTTGCTCTTAGGGTGCTCCGTGTGGCTTGCATCTTGCAATAAAAGAACAGGAGGTAAAATTGATTAATATCTTTATCAAGAGCTAAGTCAACCACTCGAGCTCTTCAGTACGGAGCATGAATGACTGGCTCTGCTCTGTTTTGACTCCACAGGCCACGCTTAAGTCAATTACCTCGTATAGTTTATTCATGCTGATACTTGCAGATCTTGTAAGAATGACCCAAGGGAGAGGATGGGACAAAAATAGATGAGTCACAGAAGAAGAAATCCAGTGGGCCAGTAAACAGATGACAAGACGCTCAACCTCATGGGTCATCAGAGGAGTGTAAATTGGGAAGAAGCGAAAAAAGAAACCCCACTTGACAACAATCAACAAGTCTGATAACGGGGCCGGCCTGGTGGCGCACTCGGTAGAGTGCGGCGCTTGGGAGCGTGGCGGCACTCACGCTGAGGGTTCGGATCCCATATAGAGACCAGTCCGCTCACTGGCTGAGCGCGGTGCGTGCGCGACACCAAGGGTTGTGATCCCATTACTGGTCACGAAAAAAGACAAAAAGGAAAAAAAAAAAAAAGAAGTCTGATAACAGCAAATATTATTGGGGAATAACAGAGTCTGTTCATTGTTGATGGGGCGTATATCGCAAAACAATACTTTAGCATAAAACCAGGTGTTGATGGCACAAAACACATTTTATGGCACAAAACACATAACACAAAATAATATTCTATTCGATTAATGGATACATACATATGTAGAAAAAAATTAAAAACATAAACAGAAAGGATATAAACTATAATACTGTAACGACACTGGAGCAGAAAGGGCATGAGAAGGGATGGAGGCATAGACCTTAAGCTGCATCTGCAATGTTTTGTTTTTTTAAAGGAAACACAAGATTTTAAGCATGTGGAAAAACGTTAACACTTGTTAAAGCTGGTGATAGGTGCATGGATGTCACTTAATATTTCTCTGTGTGAAAGATTTAATAATTTAAACATTTATAATAAAAGCACACCAGGGACAGTGCACGGACAACCCAACTTGTGACAACTCGAACACGCCAGAGCTAAACCTCCCTTGGTGGGGGACCTGAGCTAATGGGGAAATAGATGTTTGCCCACATTCAAGATTCATATGACTATCCTTTTTTTTTTTCCCTGAAAAGAAAAGGTTACTAAGCCAAAGGAAGGTAATTTTAATTGGCCAATTGGGGTTCAGATCTCAAACCGTGAGACAAAAATCTCACTTACCAATGGTTTTCATTTGAACAACAGCTCTGACTGTCCATGAACGCACTGAGTCACATATGTATGTGCCCTGGTGATAGTCATAGACTTCGCCCACTAGGATTCGGTTGCTCCTTTTCTTAGAGAGGGGTTTTCCATTCTATCCAAAAGATAAGAAAATTAAATAACTTTCTTTAATGACAGAATTTTTATTAAAATTAATCACACCTATAGAAAAATTTCATGAAATTGAACTGAGAATGAGGAAGGCCACTCTGAGATAAGGGCATCCCACAAGGTATGAGGACATTGTATTCAAAAATTAAATTGTAAGATTCTTATTCGATACAAGAGGCATTTTCTAATACAATTACATTACGTGTGGAGATGAGGGAACCTGATCAGCTCACAAAGAGCTATTTAACCTAGTATTTCCCAGACAGTGATTCAGGCCTCCGAGGGTATTCTAGAAAACTCACAGTGTTCTAAGGGCTGATACCTAAGTTAGTTTTTAAAAATACACACACACACACACACACACACACATATATATATACACTTGTGTGTCTATATGTATGTGTATATATGTACATATTTCTGAAATTGACAGATTTCCTATGCGTGCGTGAGGGTAATATATGATGTTATTAAATAATAAACAAACAGTTGTTCATAAATATTACAAAGAATGACTGAAGACTGAAAAACAATTATTTAACTTGTAGTGAACCTGGAAAAACAATTATTTAACTCATAGTGAACCCGGAGTCAAGTAAGAGCTAACGTGCAGTTATCCACCTGTCTCTCCCTTACTTAGAATCTACTGGTGACTCCCTTTGTCTTTAGGATAAAGTCTAAAATTCTTCACAGTCTGATCTCAGTCTCACTTCCTGCTGCTGCCCCTCTGCCCACTTGCTATTACCTGAATAACCATGTTCTTTCCTGGCGCCTGCATTTGCAGGTCTCCCACCCCTGCGCAGGCTGCTGCTCAACCTCCAACTCCAACTCAGGAGGTGGCTCCTATAGAGACAGTCATCACACGCTCCCCCAGCAGAACCGGCCCCTCCGTGCACTTCATGCATGATTGTGCATAGCTTGTTTGTAGTAATGATGTGTTTAGGTATCTCTAGTTCTTGAGAGCAGCCTTTGTGCCAGGACATATATCTGGTCCTGGACACACTGAGAACAATGAACATGGATCCCTTCCTCCACTCCAGAAAGGCAGGCCCTGAGTAGGAAGCCATTCTAGAGCACCATTCACAGAGTGCCAGGGAGCACTCCGGCGGCCCTGCCCTGCTCACACGGTGCAGGGACGCTCCCTCAAGTCTAATCAGAGCCTTGGAGGATATGTAGAAATCAGTCAATTGAAGGTAAGTGCCACTTTAGGAACATTTGAAGTAAAGTGTGTACATACAAAATAAGGCTGAGGAGAAAGGCTGCTGAACACAGATGTGTTTGAATTTTATGTCTCCAGTACACAGCAACTGGGACAGCAATAGGATGCTCTTTGAAAAGCATGTGTGAATAAATGGATGTACAACCATTTTTCTTGAATGAAATGGATGTACCTTTTTTCTTGAAAAAAGGTTTTCGAGAAGGAGAATCACATGATCAGACTCTTTTAGAAAAATGACTGGCAGTTAGGTATGGAAGCTCATGTGAGTTTAAGCAAAGACTGTCATAATCCCCTTTGCATCACCAGGGTCTGGGGCATTGCAGGGACTCAAGAAATGTTTGTTGAATGATAATCACTGCTCCAATAACCCTGTAGCCCCTAGCCTCCATGTATAACAGTGTTTCTATGGCACATGGCCTTCCAGTTTCCAACTGCGAGTACCAGGAGCATATCTCTTACCATTGTAATTGAAAGAAAAGAGATAAACAGCAAAAATAATAAAATGATAAGAATCTGTTGTCGATATAGATTACAAAATTCTTTCTCGTGTATTATCACATATAATCATCCAAAGGATTATCTGACTTTGGGTAGATGATGGAGTTTGGATGTGTTGTCCCCTCCAAAACTCATGTGGAAATCTGATCCCCAGTGTGGCAGTGTTGGAAACGGATTGAGTCATGGGGGCGGATCCCTCATGAATGGATTCATACTCTCTCTGGGGGAGGGGGGATTAATGAGTGAGTTCTCACTCTATTAGTTCCCGTGAGAGCTCATTGCTTAAAAAGACCCTGGCACCTTCTCTCTCTCTCTCTTGCTTCCTCTCACCATGTGATCTGCTTGTACCCGCCGGCCGTCTGCCACTTTCCGCCATGAGTAGAAGCAGCCTGAAGCCCGTGCCAGATGCAGCTGTCCCAGAATCGTAAGCCAAATAAACCTCTGTTCTTTATAAATTACCCAGTCTCAGGTATTTCTGTTATAGCAACACAAAAATGGACATATACAGTATGTATCATTAAGGCTCTGTGAGATGGAACTCAAAGGAAACATCAAAGAAAAGAAATTAGGAAGAAACAATTTATGCCAAGGATGATGGGAAACTAATACAATTACAAGTGATTCCAGAAGGAAAGAGAGAAGCTGATGTAGCTGCACAGGGAGCTCTTTGTTTTGCTCAGATGTGAAACAGTCATGAACGAAATATGGAAGGGAGGACACCCACCAGTGGGAGTCTGTGTGGATAGTGTCGGTAAGCCCTAAAAGGAACGCAGGCATGCAAAAAACCTGAAGACACTGAAAGGTACCTTGAAAGGTATGCATGAAGCAAGGAGAAGAACAAAGTTATTCTTACCACTAGGGCCAGTTATATTGTGCCGTATGATCCCCAATGTGGCAGTGTTGGAAACTGACTGAATCATGGGGGCGGATCCCTCATGAATGGATTAATGCTCTCCCTAGGGGAAGGGGGATTAATGAGTGAGATTTCGCTCCATTAGTTCCAATGAGAACTGGTTGTTTAAAAGACCCTGGCACCTCCCCTCCCTCCCTCTCTCTTGCTTCCTCTCGCCATGTGATCTGCTTGTCCCTGCCGGCTGCCTGCCACTTTCTGCCACGAGTAGAAGCAGCCTGAAGCCCATGCCAGCTTCATAAGAAGCTTCCCCAGAATCATAAGCCAAATAGACCTCTGTTCTTTATAAATTACCCAGTCTCAGGTATTTCTGTTACAGCAACACAAAAATGGACATATACAGTATGTATCATTAAGGCTCTGTGAGATGGAACTCAAAGGAAACATCAAAGAAAAGAAATTAGGAAGAAACAATTTATGCCAAGGATGATGGGAAACTAATACAATTACAAGTGATTCCAGAAGGAAAGAGAGAAGCTGATGTAGCTGCACAGGGAACTCTTTGTTTTGCTCAGATGTGAAACAGTCATGAACGAAATATGGAAGGGAGGACACCCACCAGTGGGAGTCTGTGTGGATAGTGTCGGTAAGCCCTAAAAGGAACGCAGGCATGCAAAAAACCTGAAGACACTGAAAGGTACCTTGAAAGGTATGCATGAAGCAAGGAGAAGAACAAAGTTATTCTTACCACTAGGGCCAGTTATATTGTGCCGTATCATCAAACTCTTGTACTACCAGACGGCATAGCTATTCCTGAAAGCAGCACGCACATTGTATTATTCTATGGGAACAGGGCTCGCTGAGCTTGGGCAACACAGTGGAGCTCCTGTGCCTAGTCTGGCACCAGACTCCCACTGCCTAGTCTAGGAGAATGAACTACCAGGATGTACATTTCTATTCCTGTCCTCCCCGATGGACTTCGGGTTTTCACATCCATTTTAATGTTCCCTACCTTGGTTTCAGATGCGTATACATCACCTCTCTTCCACCCCT